TAGATCCTATATTGTTCAGATCATGACCCTCGGGATAGGGCGGGGGCCACAATGGTCAATCCAAGTTTTACATAGAAATATATAGGAAAAATCTTTGAAAATCTTCTTTCTCAAGAACCATTGGGCCAGAAAAGCTAAAACTTCTGTGCAAATGGAAGCATCCTGGGGTAATGTATATTTCAAAATGTCTAAATTTTGATCACTGGGGTAGGGTGAGGTTGAAGTATGTATTAAAACGGGGGAAATCTGGTAAAGAACAGAATGATCAAAGCTTCTCAGTTGAGCGATGTGGCCCATGGGCCTCTTGTTGGAGAATGTCCACCTAAAAGTAAATCATGGTGACCTACTTTTGACATTTAATGGCTTAATTAAAGTATCTCCGGTACTTATTGGTTTAGAATCATCAAACATTGTTAGTTAATGCATCTTTGGTTTTCAGAGAATGTCGATCAAAAAGTAGGTCACAGTAACCTTTTTTCTCAGAATCATCAAATTTTGTCAGTTGATGTAACGTCAGTTTTCGAAAATTTTCTACTAATAATTAGGGCACAGTGACCAACTTTTGACATTTTATGGCTATATTTAAATATCTCCTGTACTTATTGACTTTAAAAAATCAAACTTTGTCAGTTGATGCAATTTTGTTTTTCCAATAATTGAGACAAAAAAGTAGGTCAAGATGACCTACATTTGATATTTTATGGCTATATTTAAGCATAGGTACTTATTAGTTTGAATCATTAAACTTTGTCAGTTGATGCATCTTGAATTTTCGGGGAACGCAAACCCAAAATTACTTCAAATTGACCTACTTTTGACATTTTATGGCTATATTTTTATATCACGTCTACTGGTTGACCTTGAATTGCTAAACTTTGTCAGTATGAGAATATTGACTACAAAGTAGGTCACGGTGACCTACTCTTGAATATCTCAGATAATTATTGGCTTACAATCATCAAACTTTGTCAGTTGATGTATCTTGGATTTTGAAAATCGTTTCCTAAAAAATAGGTCACAGTGACCTACATTTGACATTTTATGGCTATATTTAAGTATCTTGAGTACTAAGTGGCCTAGAATCCTCAAATTTTGTCAGTTTATGTATTTTGGGTCTTAAGATATTTAGGGTAAAGGGCTTCAAATAGAAGTGATAGGTTGTACAATTTATCAGAAGAGCGATTCAAGGCCTTTGGACCTCTTGTATATATACATTTCACACATATTGCTATATTGCGAACGATGTTTCGTTTACGGGGTGTTAAAAACTAATTCACTACCGATATCGATTTCTTCTACGGGATGTCTACACATACGAAAGCTTGTAATCACTATTTCAAAAGTACCGGCTTAGAAGAGAACAATTTCCCGGAAAAAATTACATTTAAAATAATTTTTTATTTATTGTTTTCTAAACTATAATTGTTTATTTTTTCAAATGTTTACTTTACTCCAAAAATTTATTATTTAATTTTAGAAGAAACTGTCAAAGGTATGGACAAAACAGGGCTTTGTCCGTTAAAGGTTGATTTTTGCTTGACATTTAGCCTAGTAGTCCTTGAGGACAGAACTGTCCTAAATAGAATTTTGATATTTAGATATAGGTTTGGATGTAAGGAATGACATTAAATTTGCTGTACATGAAAACATCCAACTATTAACTAATAAAATATGTGAAGAAAAGCTGTATAGATATTAAAAATTTTTAAATAAAAAAAATACTGATGAAAATAAAACAAATACTTTGTGAATATTTGTTATATGTGTTGTTAAAATGTTCTTAAAAACCACTCAGAATTGGGGAGAACATGGTCGTTAATCATATTTTTAAAAGAAATTGAAACAAAATAGTGAAATATTAGAGACATTATTTTTTTTTTATTTTTGCTTATCCCGATCAAAATTAAACTGATCCCAACTATAATTGTACAATTATTGGAAATAAATAACATTTTCCCAAGAACACTAGTCTGATCAGATGAAATAAGAGTTAAACATTATTGAACTTGACAATAAAACAGATTTCTTCATTGTGAATACATGAAGAGGCAGTAAATTAGAAGTTTATTCATTTTTTGTTAATTTGATCAGAATCAGTTTAATTTTGATCGGGTTAGGTCCAAATACGTAAATAAAATTCCTAAAAATATCTCAATTTCGTTTTAATTTCTTTTTTAAAATATGATTGACAAATATGTTCTCCTTAGTTGTGAATATTTTTTGGTGTTTTAACCATATATTTAAAAATTAAAAAAAATAACGTGTTTTATTTTCATAGATCATTTTTCATAAAAAATTAACAAGTCCAGCCTTTCTTTACATATTTTATTAGATATCAATATGATACATTCATTTATAGCAAACTTTTAACTCGAAAACATCTTAGTTGGATATAATTAATTTCTTTCATTTTCTTTGACAAAATACAAAACACTTCATATAAAGTAATTAGGAGCTAATATCGACCTTTCAATGCCGAAACTCTTGTTTAAAAAGAATGACTCAAAGATCTATAAAATAAAAAGTTGGTGTGGCATTCCACCTTAAATCTCAAGTTTACATAATTGCTAAGCTTTGACATCTCATCTACAGAGTTTTGAAACAAGATGTGTTTGTGAAACACTGATGCCCCTGTATTGCAACTTACTGGTAGTGAAGATTTTCTTAAATAAAAATTTTATATATTGGTACAAAACTAGGGTTTTGCACTGAAAACACAACTGTGAAATATAAAAGTAGGTCACGATTTTTTTTTTTTCAAAATTAAGATAATCTTCATGGCCAAAGTCAAAAGGTCAAGGTAATTGGTATCCAATGAACGATCTTGCCGTAAAGAATACATATATGTAATATGGAAGCCCTAGTCCTAACTGTTCAAAAGATATGGCCAAGGTTAAAAATTTCAAAAAGTAGGTCAAACTCCCATATCAAGGTCAAAGCTTTTGATATCAAATGAAGTCTTCTCACAAGTATTCCATATTTGAAATATGAAAGCACCAACCCTTAGCAGTCAAAAGTTATGGCCAAAGTTAAAGTTTTTTTCATAAGCAAGGAAATCTCCAAGATGAATGTCTACAAAGAATACATATATAGAAAATTAAAAGTCCTGGTATCTACTGTTCAAAGGGTATGGCCAAAGTAAAACTTTGGACTGTTTTGGAATTTTCGTATATTTTGGAATTTTTGTATAAAAGTGACTCCAAAGTCAAGGTCCAAAACTCAAATTTGGTGGTACCCAAAGAAAGATCTTGTCACAAAGAATACACATGTGAAATACGAGGGGTTATCAAAGAGTATGTGGACTGGGCTATAAAATATGTTGTGTGAGCTTACAATATCTATAAGAAAAATAAAACAACAGAAATAAAGAAATTTTAAAATTTTTAGCTTGATACAGTCATTAAGATGACGTCGCCGCTCAGTTTCATGACTTCTGACAACGTCATTCATCATTTTCATTGTCCACTTCTACATCGTACACTTATTTTGATGAGATTCCTAAGAGCTGAGTTAGGACTTTAATCCATCTTGTTTATATGACTTTACAATGTCATGAACAGAAGATTTCAATTTATTTTTACAAATGGATTTATACATAGGAGAGATCCTAGCTTGATTGTACCAGCGTATTTGCTTTTTGGAGTTCAATGTAACTAAAACATATGATCAACGTCATTATTTGACGTGATAGATTTTTCAAACTTTGACCACAAATCGACATAAACGTTGCATTCTTTTTCTCTCTATTTTTTTGCATAAAAAACAAGTTACGTGGGTGTAAATTATTTCTCTGTAGCAAGTTTAAACATTTCTAGGTGTATACCAGGAAACCTTTCCCTCCTTTGACGTTGTTCTCAAGGCAATATTTGTTTGGATACTCCATGTAAAATTTACAATAAAATTTCATAGAATTTCTAGAATGAAGTAAAAATTCCATTTTTATGGAGCAAAAGTGTCCCAACACATACCTGATTTAACGGAATATTTGGATGTCAAATTAATAAATCCAAATAGTTTATCTTAGTTACACCTAGGTCGAAAAAACGTCGTTTTCGAGGTTGTGCCGCCTGGACATACCATTGCTTACAAAATCTTTAATAATTTATTTTAAAATTAAATTTATGATTTGTTGTTCATTCTATAAGTAGAAAAGATGATGATAACTAAACATTTTAATATTCATTGACGTTCCTAAAGCGATGTTAATCTTATGGCGCTAGTCCACGAACATTTTGATAGCCCCTCGTATGTAAGTTACAGCATGGGTATATCAAAAGTTATGGGCAAGGTTAAGGTTTTTGCAGACAAACAGACAGAGAGACATCTAGACAGACAGACGGACACGACAAAAGCTATATAGTCCCGAAACTTCGTTCCACACAAAACTTTCAACAGGAAAACAAGTCTACATAATGATTCTAATTTTCCCCTTTAAACATCAGTTGCAGCGGGACGTAAAAATATAAAACCTTTACAAACAATACACAACAGGCAGTCTTTAACTTGAAACAGTGAGAATCTATGGCATATAAATCACAAAACCTTGAAGAGACTGTAGTTCTTATGATTTGTGCAATAATCATGTATACATTAAACCTGAACACGATTCGTAAAAGGAATGTGTCCGCCATTTTTTCTCCCGAGTCTTGCTACTCTGCAGACCCCTATAAATAGGACAGAACGTAGACACTCTTCAGTGTAATCAGTCGACACCGGTGTAGACGAATGTATCCTATACAGGACTCAGTGGCGAGAGTAATAACGTAATACTTCGTCTAATGCAGGAAAGTAAGATACCAAATAAATTTACGGTTATAGTTGTTCAGGTCAGTGCAGTGCACAGGCAACATAAATAAACATTACTGCAATAAAATATAAACAAAGTCAATGCAAGATAACCAGCACGAACAAGGGTCGCCATTTCACGCTCATACCCGTCACAATAAAACAATCAGGTGTAACGAATGCGATGAGTATACCCTAGTATTGATGTGTCGTAGAAAATGTTATTATGAAAAATTATCAAATGGACTATTTGATTAATTCAGTTAACATTTTGAAAATTTGAAATAAATATCCTGTTTCACTCAAGAGCTTCTCCCATTCCCATGTTGGAATACATTGTGACTTCCTAAGGGTTACAAACGTGTACTCCGTGACTTCCTAAGGGTTACAGACCGTATACGTATTCTCCAACTTGAATAGAACGTATTTCTTTCCGCATAATAATCATTTTATAATGTGTATTAATTTATCATTTCTCATCTTGTTAAACAGTGTTTTCTAACAAACCTCTGTGTGTCCATTCTTTGAAGATGGAGCCTGTCTGGCTACCCACTTCTTCTCCAACTTGATCATCAAACTTTTTCTCCATATTGAGAACCAGAATAAAGAATGCTCGTGGACTCAAAAAAATTCTGGTGTGAGGCATAATATGCGCACTGTCCAGCAAAATCCAGTATAGAGATTCTTTTCTCGGGATCATCAGAAACATTTTTCGTAAAGCGTAAAACTCCCGATATTTTAGAATCTTCAGCAACATTCTGACTATCATAATTTTCTCCCTTTGGTTTAGTAGACAAAGTAGCAGCTTTGATTCCTTCCGACAAATCAGCTTCAAGCTTAACTTTGTCCTCTGACATATGATCCACACTAATTACTTCACTGGCAAGGTTTTCACCCACTATTGGTTCTTCAATATCCTGCTTTTTCAATTAATAAGTTACTTCTACTTGGTGTTCTTGAACATCGTGATTTTGACTGGTGTCATCAAACGTTACCTTGAAATGTTGTATTTGATCTGATGAGTTTTCTGAAGAAGAAATGCATATTGCATTTTATTGTTAAGAAAATATTTGTTATTTGGTACATTAAATCCAGCACTTGAAGTAAGTCATATGTTATGCATTCCTAGATATAACATCCATGCAAGTTTGGGAAACAAAATTTTACTTGCAATATTTACTTATAAAGAAAAGACCTGTAACTTTAACCAGGTCATTAACTTAGAAAATATATAGATGAAATCTGTTATCCACAGCAAGTTATAAATTATGTATCCATCCCTCTATGTAGTGTATATACAATGTAATTAGAAACAATGATACCTTTGATAGTGGTTGACACATCAAAGATGTCAGCATATATGTTAATTCCCCTCGTGGATTTGGTCTTTTTCTGAATTTCGGCCACGTCAATGCCCTTCAGTCTCTCTAACAAAGTTGTTTTCCCACTACCAGCACACCCTACTATCATCCCAGAGGCGTGGTACCACTACCAGCACACCCTACTATTATCCTAGAGGCGTGGTACCATTACTAGCACACCCTACTATCATCCCAGAGGCGTGGTACCACTACCAGCACAGCCTACTATCATCCTAGAGGCGTGGTACCACTACCAGCACACCCTACTATCATCCCACAGGCGTGGTACATCATCGTCCTCCCTTTCTTCAGATTCTCGATGTAGTTCTTCACTGATTTATATCCCCTCGTTATAATTTGTATAGGCATGCCAACTGTAAAGAGAATTAAAAACAAGAGGCCCAGGGGCCACATCGCTCACCTGAGCAAATCGTGGGAAAAAACACAAATCAGATAAAATCTGAAAAGTTTATTAAAGGTGAGGAGGGGGGGGACTTGAATTTAATACTTCTTAAGAATGCTTTCATATTAATACAGCATATGACTTTGCTGTTCTTGATAAAAAAAATTTTTAAAAACATTTTCTTCCTATACTATCACTAATCATTGCTTTGAAGTACTTGAGAAGAAGACTTTTATAAAGATTTTTCCTTTATATTCCTATGTAAAACTTTGATAAGCCATTGTGGCCCCACCCTACCCCTGGGGGTCATGATTTGAACAAATTTGAATCTACACTACCTGAGGATGCTTCCACATGAGTTTCATCTTTCCTGTACCAGTGGTTCTTGAGAAGAAGATTTTTAAAGATTTTCCCTATATATTCCTATGTAAAACTTTGATCAGCCATTGTGGCCCCGCCGAACCCCTGGGGGTCATGATTTGAATATACTTGAATTTACACTATCTGAGGATGCTTCCACTTGAATTTCATCTTTCCTGGACCAGTGGTTCTTGAGAAGAAGATTTTTAAAGATTTTCCCTATATATTCCTATGTAAAACTTTGATCAGCCATTGTGGTCCGCCCAACCCCTGGGGGTCATGATTTGAACAAATTTGAATTTACACTATCTGAGGATGCTTCCACATGAGTTTCATCTTTCCTGGACCAGTGGTTCTTGAGAAGAAGATTTTTAAAGATTTTCCCTATATACTCCTACGTAAAACTTTGATCGGCCATTGTGGCCCCATCCCACCCCCAGGGGTCATGATTTGAACAAACTTCAATTAACACTACCTGAGGATGCTTTCACATGGGTTTCATCTTTCCTGGACCAGTGGTTCTTGAGAAGAAGATTTTAAAGATTTTCCCTATATATTCCTATGTAAAACTTTGATCGGCCATTGTGGCCCCACCCAACCCCTGGGGGTCATGATTTGAACAAACTTGAATCTACACTATCTGAGGATGATTCCACATGAGTTTCATCTTTCCTGGACCAGTGGTTCTTGAGAAGAAGATTTTTAAAGATTTTCCCTATATACTCCTATGTAAAAGTTTGATCGGCCTTTGTGGCCCCACCCTACCCCCAGGGGTCATGATTTGAACAAACTTGAATCTACACTTCCTGAGAATGCTTCCACATGAGTTTCATCTTTCCTGGACCAGTGGTTCTTGAGAAGAAGATTTTTAAAGATTTTCTCTATATACTCCTATGTAAAACTTTGATCGGCCATTGTGGCCCCACCCTACCCCCCGGGGTCATGATTTGAACAAACTTGAATCTACACTACCTGAGTATGCTTCCACATGAGTTTCATCTTTCTTGGCCCAGTGGTTCTTGAGAAGAAGATTTTTTAAAAATGCCATAAATTTTTCACTTATTCATAATTATCTCCCCTTGGAAGAGGGCGTGGCCCTTCATTTGAACAAACTTGAATCCCCTTCACCTAAGGATACTTTGTGCCAAGTTTGGTTGAAATTGGCCCAGTGGTTCTTGAGAAGAAGTCGAAAATGTGAAAAGTTAACGACGACAACAACGACAACGCCAACGACAACGACGACAGACAACGGACAAATTTTTATCAGAAAAGCTCACTTGAGCCTTCGGCTCAGGTGAGCTAAAAATGGAACATTGGATCCACCAATTGAAGAGTTCATATTTTGAATTTGATTTTGTTAAATTAAATGTAACTGAATATGGAGACTCGGCAAATACTTTTCAGAATAAATTTACAATGTACATCTAACGAGATGCTTTTGTAAATAATGTGATTATACTCGAGGAAAGACATCCCCTGCTTAAACATATACTTAAAGTGACTTAATGAGATCGATCAATTCAAAAAAATCAGAACTAAGCAATTATTTCTCTTAGTTACATTTACAAAAGGTCGATCTTGTGGCACGGTGATCAGAGCGTTTGCTTCAGAATCACAGCGCAGGTTGCGGGTTCAAATCCAATGTTCTTTGGATGAGATCGTATTAAACTGTGTCATGTATGACAGTAAGTTCTGGCAAGAAATTTTCTCACTTTAAAACAGCCATTAGTGCTGAGTAAAAGTTAAAATTTAAATACCTTCCAGCAAGTGGTGGTGTGTGTATATATAAGTGACAGGTTCCTGAAATGGCGTGAAACATACAAACCTGGAGAGTTTGATCCAAGGATTGAGGGATTGATGAATATTTAGTCATTGTTGAGTCCTGTGAGATCCTCGGGTATGAACCTTGATGTTCACATTAGAGTATCACATTTTTCACAAGTTATAATTACATTTGCCCCTCATGAACTTTGACCCTTGTATCTAAGAAGAGGTAACAAACCATACATAACCTTGATAAACACCATGTCATGTATAGATGTGTCCTGCCATGTAGGATGGGTGAAAATATCCTCTCTAAGTCTTTCTATCAATCTTTCCGTTTGTTGTGGCAATAACAAACAAAATACCTCATTGTATTTTAGGATCTTACTCCATCACCTACAGTAATCTATTATGTTTTCTTTTCTGCCTGAGTCAGGGAGATATCCAAAAATTTAGGATCTTCTGAAAATTTGAGAAAACTGGCATGTCTGAAGAATGCATGAGAAAACATGATTTCTAAAATGTTATATTTTAGCATTGGCCAGAATTTTCAAATCGGCAGCACTGGATTGTGTCGTGATATTTTGAAATTGAAACTTTCTGCAACAACATTGTATTTCTCAATCCAATCTCCCTCTTTTAGATTGATTCTGTATAACTTGCACAAAAGAAGGCACATCAGAAATGCATTTCCATCTACAAATTGTAAAATGCATGTTAAGTAATGTATGATAATGTATGTTCCTCCTGTGAAATAATTCTATGCTAAGATTACTCAATTTTTTGTTGACAAATCGTTTTTCATTTTTATAACCGCCAAAATTTAGTTAGCCTGCCCCCAAACAAATTAAACTAGCTAAACACAGGACATTTAGCACATATTTATTGTAGGCTCTGATTACTCTGCAATATAACATTTAGTAAGCTATAACCACTTAAAATAGCCCTTTTGATTTATGGACATCAATGTTGGTACACTTAGAAGAAAATTACCTCTGATATTGAGGTCTGAAGGACCTGCAAACTTGCATGTAGTTTTATGGTTGCATTTTTCTAAAAGATTACTGGTTTTAAGTATCATTACAGTATAAATTGTACATTGTTTTACACTGGGTGGTGGTGGGATGGGTGGCTTATATATGTTTCTCAATCATTCTTTGTTTCCTTTAAAATTTGACTTTGATTGTAACAAACCTATCTGTCTGTAAATCTCCTTCAAATTTTCCACCAAATTTACTGTATTTTTATACATTCATAAAATATATCTGGTATACAAACCGTAGATAAATAACATTCATTGGCTTATAATTTGATATTTATTTTGTTATAAATCATAAACTGATAGAAAAGGGTCTTTAATTGAATATTATTTTCAAACTAATGTATACAACACGATTTTTGACAGAAAAAAGGGTTCTTTTTTGCATTTGAAATCCTTGATAGTTTTTCTCAATATATGTCTTTTCAAAGAAACTTTGAATAAATATATTTGACTTGTACTTTATGATTTATCGTTCATCATAAATTTTATTTATTAGTTTCTATTGCACGTCAGCAGAGGTAATTATCTGACTTTTCGCAAAATAATTTTAAACTGAAATATTTAAATTAACCAATAAACTCCTTCCCAAATACACGAAATGTGACAGATGTCATTCAGTAAAACTGTTTCTTTATATTAAAGTTATATACGCTGTATGAACGCCAAATTTTGTATAAAACAAAATGATTAATGATTTAAAACACATGAAGTGTAATGAAAAATAATACTTTCCACAAAATTGTACTATACATGGCGTTGTAATAACAAAAAAATTAGTCATATCTAGGAATTAAGAATTCAGTCTTTCCATGAATATTGATGAAAGAAGTGCGTAAACAGTAGGCCTATATATAGAAACACATGTCCACGGGAAATCACAGACAACGAGGTATGTTGCATTTTGACAACAATTATTAATATTAAGGTCAATATGCGTCTTAACAGAGAAGATGGTTGATACTGAATACATTAAAAAATAAGTACCATTAAGAGTAAGACGCTTGCCATCCACGTCAAAAGTGAGTAGTATCTCAAACGGCCTACCTTGTTTTCTTTACGCCACGTGTGCTTATCAATCTAAAAGTAGCGACGACGCCATGTGATGGATTTATTTAAAAATAGCTATTTTTCTTTCCTTGCAGGATAATAAATAATTATAATTTGATAACTTTGTAATGCGTTTAATTTCAATGGTGTAATTTACAGAATTTTCGTAACATTTATAGATAAACAAATGATATCAATTTCCAATCGTATTTTAACTGGCACAAGTTATAGCGTGTATACTTTTAAGCAAATGAACAAATCACTTTTCAGTGTCCGAATCTCAATGTTTAAGGGAAATATGATGTTATATTTTTTCATGATCCTGTAATGCTCTTGCTTCTTAAAGTCAGAATATTCAAAGTTATAATTAAAAAAAATGGATTTTCAAAAGAATGTTTTGGAAACAAGAGAGCAAATATTAGCTCAGTTTATCAATGTCATGTGTGTACTTTATACTTGTCGACTTTTGCAGAGTTCTCATAAATCCATCTGCACGTATGTTTTATAGGACTACTTTGTATATTAGTTATTGGTTTCAAACTATGCTTTCCTGTATGAATAAAGGAATTTATTATTATTACTACATTTATTTCCTTTAATCATGTTTATATAATTTTAAATTTTTAAGATACGTTGATTTGGATTTAAATGATGATAACTATTTTAAATTGGTATGCCCTTCATAATTCTCTTACCAATAAAGTTGAAATTATGCAGATAGATTCGGACAGGCATTTATAAATGTACCAAAAAATAGTTTGTCTAATAAATTTAATTTTTCCGTTCAAGAGCGCTAGACAATCTTCATAACTTACAGAATCTAAAGTCTGACTACTATAATTTTGGTGTCACACAAACGCCTTCGATCAATCAACAATTGCAAGATACTGCAAATAAGATGTTATAGAAGCCACACAGGATTCTATATAGTTATAAACAATTCTAAAGTTACAGCTACAAACTTTTTTTTCGTTCTATAAAAATATTTCTAAACAAAAAAAAAAAAAAATCATTTTTCATCTTCTTGAAAATTTGATGTGACATCCATATACAAGTCATCTGTCAGATCAATCGTGGTTCTTTTATTTCTCTGCTTTTGATAATCATTTTATCAACAGAAATTTATTTAATTGCAAATACTTTTCTTAAATGACAGTGAAAGAGTAAATCAGTCAATCAAGTCAGCCACGATATGATATTTTATCAGACTGAAAAAAATGTATTATATATTATGAAGGAAAATGATTTCTTGTGATTATTTAAATTATAACAAAATGATATAAGAGGGTCTAAATGACTATTTAATTATTATAATACAACGTAAACACATTTCTCATTGGCTGATATTTAAGGAATCACTGTCTAGTTTGGAGAGTATGCCAGGGCATCAACAATAGTGGGAAACATGGGATAATTTGCATAAATTATGCTTATTTATGCTTAAATTATCCCATGTTTCCAACTATTGTTGATGTCCCTGGCATACTCTTCAAACTAGACAGTGATTCCTTATATTTCCATTTCATTGTGAAATAAAATTGTAGACTTTAACAATAAAAATGTAGACTAATAGATTTGAATTACACGGGGACATCCATGCCAATTTTAATAGTCCTCGCACACTGCATGACGTCAAACACAAAGCAAGCCGCACGAGATTTACATGCATATTATGGCTCCTTAGAGTCAGACACAAAAACAGATGCGCTCGAGATTTGCATGCGTATTAGGCCTCCTTAGCTGCTGACCTATCGACCTGCCTAATATACATTTCGGCAGAATTATTAAGAAATAAACTCCCCCAACTTTCAAACAGTTATCACAGAGAAAAAAAATTAGAAATGGAAATATATATGTATAAGAAGTAAAATAATGTTTAAAAGACGATTCTTGAGAAGATCAAGGTCTTCCTATGTCCTCCTTTGAATTCCTTGCTAGTATTACTAGATATATATAAGCCAAGCAGTGTCAATTACACGATCAAATACACTTTATTTTCGCTTTATATCCTGATCATGATGATTATAAAGATTAACGTATTTACTATTGTACTTCTCCAGAGTTTAATCATATCGAAACTGAAAAACTCTTGTCGGCATCATATTCAATATAAACCAACAAACCCTCTTGACAAAAGAACGCATAACAGATAAATTAAAACTGCGCAAAACTTTTTCTTTATTTCTAATCAGATAGCAATAACGATTACAAATGTTTCCCTTTTAGCAACAAAATAAAATATCAGTGTTTCATTTTTTTTTAAAGAAAATATTTTCTGTTTTCGGGTACAACGGAACATCTGTGCAGCTCTGTCCAGTAGTAATCACATTGACAGCAAGTTGTTTCAAACATCTAGGTTATTAATTGATGTAATTATCATATGCCATAGCTATATTTCACTGATTCTTCTTCTCAAAACACCACCACTGAGTCTTATTATAGCCTGAAAGAAAAATGACTATTTTATTTTAAAAAAAGCCCTTTGTCTTTATTCATATACAAATCTGTTTTTCAAAATTTTCCTTCGTTTATTGGATTACACGTGTGCATTGTAACATTATCTTTATCTAAAATATCACACAAATAATACAAAATTAAAAGGGGCATATATACATTGAAAAATAGGTCTATTGACGTCTGATTTGATTAAATTTTGAGTACTTTTTGAATACAGAATTTGTATAATTTGCAATTCTGTAAAACAGATTTCCCGGGATATTTTTAGCCTCTATAATTTTTTTGAGAAATTACAGATGAACAATCCTAACCCAAAACAAAATAACACAACAATAGGTTGAAGGTGTAGGTGAAGTTAAAGTTAAAATTGCATGTACTTAGGGTATTAACCCCCTTACAATTTTTATAATCTGGTGTCGGGTATTTTAACTTGCACAATATGTTTTGATGATATGACTCCTTGTCACTATAAGCATTTAAATATATTTTTCAATTGATACATAAAAAATATACAAAGCCACTTAGCTTTTTGGTAACTGCTTTTAAAATGATTTATAATACTCCCAGATCGATAGATCGAAGTCGTATATTGCTTTTGTCCTGTCTGTCTGTCTGTTGTCAACTTTAACGTTCGCCTTAACTTTCGAACGTCAGATATGGAGACTTCACATTCGATATGAATACTTCACTTATTTAGTTCTTTGAAATGACACCAAGGACAATGACCTTGTGACCTAGACAATGACCTGTATCCTAAAAAATAGTTTTTTTCGAACTTTGTAGCAGCCGTTCGCATTGTGTTTCACAAACAGATCATGTATTACATTATGCAAAAGGTATATATAAAGTTTGATAAAAATAATTTTCTTAACTTAACAACACTCATAAAAAAAATCGACCGTAACTAATGGAATTTCTGTTTAAGGCAACTAAATGAAAACTCGTCTAAATACCAGTCTGTATTCATATCATTAATGTCTATATCAAACGCAAAAGCATTGACACAATTTTTACATACACTTTGCATATGCATGAAAATTGCTTACCTGAGAAAGATCATTCCAGATGATATTGAAGACATCATCACTTATCACAGGACTACTTCCAGAATCATGACTGTATTTATTTCTATACAAACGAATCCTCTCTATGTCGTCACTTTCTGTAATGTGTTCCACTTTAGGCACTTTCCCCCATCCACTCTGAGGGGGAGAAATTTCAGAGTAATTACGCAGCAATTTATACATGATGGTAATGTCCATAGATTTAGATGTAACACTGTTAGATCCACCTTCAAAAAATTCATCAAACTTTATTTCAGCGACATCTACGTCATAAAGTATGCTGACTTCCAATATATTTCTTTTTTTTCTCCCTTAAAACATTTTCAAAATAATACTTTTCTCTTTGTTTATTATACGTGTGATTGAAATTCTTTTCCATTTAGTGCGAATAGTTCTCATTTTGAACATAAAGACTGTTGAAAAAACACGCCTGTATTGACATTTATCGGAAAGAGAATGGATGGATATAGAGTTTTATTGTGATGTCCAGATATTATAGCATACATAAGACTGTTTTCATTTTACATAGAATAAAGACAAGAACCTTGTTTTGGGAAGAGAATCTTTAACTGAGGTGGTAGAAATCGGAACTTTCCTGTTCTCATGTCTGTTTCATTATCTTTTAGAGTCTTCTCCAAGCCCTCTTTCGGGAAAAACTTATCAAAGCAGATTCGGAATGCATGCGTTCCAAATTGCAGTAACTTTGAGATCTTCTTTACTTTTGAATCATCTACGTAGATTAAAATTTTGAATTATCATTTTGTGGGTTTCTTTACTTATCCTCCAAAAGGTGAAATATTTTAAATTTCAAATTATCAGTACTTAAGGGAAGTTTTTGTGAAAACAAAAATGCTAATGCTTTGTCCTGAAAGTGAAAAAAGAGAAAACTATATAATTGACCATAAACATTATCATGTTATTTACTTATACATCTTTTAAACTTATAACATTAAGAAACCTGTTTCAAGTAAATTTTTTATGCTGTGCTTCCACAGTTTCCCTCTGAAATTAAGTCCTTACACCCATTCTCATGTTTAGATATCTGAAATTCATCTGCAGGTACCTTTCAAAAAATGTAAACAAAATGTAAAACGAAATTGAAGACATTTCAACATATACGTACAGAATAAACATTCCCTTTTCAAATTCTGATAAAACAACAAAAAGAACAAGGAAATTTTGATGAGTCATTTAATGTACATTACAATCGAGATACAATACTGCAATAGATTCCCCAATGTTATATATTCTGTGTAAAACTATTTTTTTTATTATTTACTTGCATGTTTGGCTCAGGTGTATAATGAATATGCTTTCAAATATTATTCATAATCAGGATATTTTCCTTTTTAATATAACGAAAGTGGTTGATTCGACTACTATACCTGTTTCCAGTATTTTGTGATGGCTTGTGTGTTTATGAAATGCATCTTCTCCTCTGGACATAACACGCACTGGAAACTTGATGCTATAAAGTCAGATTCTTTAATCACACTGCTTTCTTTGTCATCACAAAATCCGGTAGCTTTGCATTTAAACGCCAGCTGAAACTTTAAGTCAGCTGGGAATGTTCTGGAGAGAACGTTTAACATTTCGTCAATTTTTTTCTTTATTTCTTGACATTTTGATGTTTCAACTTCTCCTTCAATAACAAATACCTGTAGCTGAATTTCTGTCTGAGTCATTCTGAGCAAAATGTTATGGTTATCGAATATGAATACAGCTACATTTCAGTAAATAAATGGTCCTTTTTTACTAGCAGCAAACTTCCAACTTGAAGGTATTTGCAAACAGGTAGTAACAAGCCGATGGAAAATTCCCGCTGGGAGGAATTGAAAGGTGTAACAAAGGATCGATGAAGCAGGATACGATTTAAAGTGATTTGAAGGAAAAGACTTTTTGTTCATGCATGGGACATACCATTTCATTTCACCTAATTCAACTAATAACCCTAATTTCTCCATGCATAACATGATATCTTTTTTATGTTCTATGTAATCATCATCTTTAATTTTCCAAATTGCTGTCAGCAAAGCGTCGCTCAATTCTCCCGTTTTATTGAAATTTTCCCATTCTGAGGCATATTCAAATAAATCCTCTTCTGCATGATTTTTATCAGTTATAACATTTTTAAATGCATCTGCAAACCACTGAATATCAAGAACAATTATTTTGTTGAGAGGTTCTTGGTTAAAATTTAAAATTTCCCTGATGTCGTGGAAAAACTGCAGCATCACATCAATGTCAACATCTGGAAGCCTGATTTCCTGAGGCAATTCTTCATTGAAAGCCTTAAGCGTTTCTTTATTTATTATCCTCTGCGACTTTTTCCCCGGAAGAAGTTTTCAAACAAAGCCCATGAGCGAGGCAGTTCTTTCCCCCAGTGATCCATTCCTTGAACGATTTCAACAATTGAAGTCTTAATTTTCTCAATCTTGTCACTGTCATGAAATCCAACTGTGAATCGCCTTTTAGCATTAAGATGTTTTTGTAAAGATTTGTCCTTTGTTTCTAAAGTCTTCCATATCTCTCTGAAAAATGCTGTTTTCTCCTGTTTAAAATAGAATTCATTTTGTCATTGACACCTGTATCATTAAAAAAGATGTGTTTGTTAAACACTAATGCCCCCGATTGCAGCGGATAACCAAGATTATTATTTTTCAATTCAAATACCAAAATCAACGCCAAGAGATCAATATGCTGTTACTTAAATAAAGGTCTTGTCACTACAAATTTAGATGAGAAAGATCTAAGCCCTAGCACCAAAAGTTATGGGGTAAAAGTTGGAAAAAAGTAGACAAAACTCTAAGGTCAAGGGTTCTAAAAGTAATGGTGCCCAAGGGAAAGCCTTGTCACCTGAAATACACATATAAATTATAAAAGCTGAAGCTCAAACTAATAAAAAGTCATGGCCAAGTTTACTTGTTTTAAGATTAAAATCCAAGGTGATATAAAAGGGTAAAATTTTTTACTGAAATGCAAAAGAAACGCAACAAAAAGTGATATACAAATGTCTAATGTCTAATGATTAAAAAAAAATACATCAGGCTAAACTCACTTTTCAGAATATCAGAGTTTGTCGATAGCGGATCCAAACATTTTGAAAAGGGGGGGGGGGGCAATTTGAGGTCAGGGTAGGGGCCCAAAGTCTGACCAAAAAAACATTGATTTATCAAATATTGTGTATTTTTGAAGACTCAAAAGGAGGGGCCCGGGCCCCTTGGGCCCCCCTCTAAATCCGCCAGTGTTTTGATGAAAATGTAAAATGTTCATCTTTGAACTTTACTAGGTAACATATGACTTTAAAAAAATAAAACCTTTCCCGGCCATTAATTTACAACGTGTAAGACTGTCCTAAACAACATTAGCAGCTTAATTTCTACGATGCAATAGGTTAATCAATATCGAGATCTGAGTGAAGGAATAATTGTTTGCCATTTTTAAATACCTGTTTTTCAGATGATAAGGTCGAATTTTCTTTAACTTGGCGCATTGAAGTAACTCTTGGACTTCCGGTCCAAGGCCTATCATTTATGAATATAATACATAAGACCCAGTTGAGACGTAATATAGTGTATTTTTGCACTATCAACTCTCCATCACCTTTACTTTAAGATTTTTCAGCTAGAGCAATAAAAAATTATAGAAATGCGTACTTAAGCCATTTTCAAGAAGCCTTAGCATCGTTACGGGAAACGAAAGGAGATTTTATATTTTGAAATATTGCTGCATAACTTAAGATGAACAGTACAAACCCTTAAAACTCCACAATATTGCCAAATGTTTTGTTAAACATGCAATTTTTGATTTATGTTAAGCAGACTCAAACTTGACTTCCGGTTATGATATGAAAATCGTTTAAGTGTTAAATTGCCGAGATTTACCAAATTGAAGATATCCATAATTTTAAGATGCAAAATTTTTACTTTACATAATTATTTAAGAAATAAAGTCCGCGTTTTCGTGAATGTTGCAGAATAACCTTCGAGGTCGAGAAATGTTGTTTGAAAGATAAAAGCCGAGGCGCTAGCCGAGGCTTTTATATTTCAAACAACATTTCGAGACCGAGGAGGTTATTCTACATCATTCACGACAACAAGGACTTTATTTCTATTCTTCCACGTATGGTACAAACGCTAAATTAAGGATAATCGTTTCCTCTATAGAGAAACGAATTAGGTCACCATGTCTCGACTATGCTGTTTCATTTAACACCAGAGGCAAAATTTGTTTGCTTACCTGTGTATAGAATGCAGACGATTTGAGCTTTCGTTACGTTAAAAATAGCCTTTTTACAAATTACAAATATGTTCATAATATGTATTGATAAGTTAAAATGAATATACAATAACAAAATCATGTTCCTGTATTACTGCTAAAATCACGTTGTTTAATGTGTAGGGAGGTCCGTGAAATAGCCCCGCTTAGCTATAAAAACTGACATTCATCAGCAACTTGATGCAATTTACAGTGTTTATAATGCAAAAGACGACACATCGATGCGGTCTAAACATGTATTTCATTCTACAGCCAAACATGCATTTGAATTGTTCAGATTTGATAGGTGTTTCTGATCTGATAATTTTTTGATGACGTTCGTGATTTATTGGAGAATAATGTCCGGCGGTTTCCTTTGAAGTTTTGAATAATCGTGGTAGAATTCACCTTAATGTAGGTTGTTGCGTTTCTTTTGCGTGTCAGTATACAATACCAATGTAAAATATGAAAACCTTCGTACAGAACTGACCATTCAAAAGTACTGGCCAATTTGAACGTTTTTGAAAAGAGGATCGAACTTAAAGATCAATGAAAAAGGATTAAAAGTATTTGCCCGAAGGAAAGATCTTATCACCCGATATACGTATGTGAAGTATTAAATCCCTAGCTGTACTCGGTTAAAACGATTGGGATAAGAATGACATGTTTGCAGATAGTTGGATTGTATAAAATATACTTGTTCTATAATTGCACTTTAAAACTTTGATCGGCCATTGTTCCCCAATTGCAACCTATCCCGGAGGGTTATTATTTGAATAATTTATATTCTACACTACCTGATGATGCGTCAAAAAATAAACGTTGCTTTGTACAAGTAATCACAATAACCAGAAGTTTTTGTGGAGACTGAAGCTCTCCTAATTTGTACTTATAGCAACAGTCCAGTCCAATACGAAAATTCGTAATATTACAAGTTTTCGTAATATAAAACTTATATTACGATTTTTCGTAATGTAGTTAAATTACGAATACGCGTAATATAGCAGATTGTAAGAAACTATATTACGAATTTTCGTAATCCAAGAAAATTCAAGCATTGCAATAAATTAAGTGGTGGGTAGCAAAGTATGACGTCAATAATATATCAGATTCCAGGGCTTATGATAGCACGCGGTCAGATTGGTCAGTTACGCCTATCAGAAAGCATGGAAATTCAAGAAGAAAGTACCGCCAGCGACGGGTGAGTGGACAATTTCTTTTATTATTCTTTTATAGGAATTTTCCCACGGATAAGACCAATTTTCCAGTAAATTTCAATATTCGCTTAAGCATGTCGCATTGGTCTATATCACCCGAACTCCCTACTTTTCTTCCGAAGTCTACCCTAAAAATCACACCCTCGTCTCATAATTCAACTGTTCGTACAATTCTTATTCGAAATACACAGAATTCAAATCTCAGTAAGCGTCGGACAAGTTATCGCCCGTGACATCTCGTATTAAACGCCATACTTTGCTACCCGCCACTCAATTTCTTGCAATGCTTGAATTTGTCTTGGATTACGAAAACTCGTAATATAGTCTCTTACATCTGCTATATTACGCATATTCGTAATTTAACCACATTACGAAAAATCGTAATATAAGTTTTATATTACGAAAACTTGTAATATTACGCTTTCTCGTAATCTTACGTTTTTTCGTAATATTACGAATTTTCGTATTGGACTGGACTGAGCAAAGGAAGAGAAAATTAGCAGTTTGATTAGGAAGAGAAAATTAGCAGTTTGATTTGAAACTTTACAACAGCAAAAAATTGATTAATAATATTTGATTAAGTCTAATTGTGTGGCAAGATTACAATATGACTATAACTACAGGAGTAGCTTTTAATAAATTTTTACAAAATTTTCAATTTCATTTATTATGGCAACAGCAATCATCAACATAAGAAAACAATTAAGACAATTAAGAATTATTATACACGAAACCTCAGTCGATGTTTTCAATTTTATACATATGAACCGAGTTTTTTTGTAAAACCATGCTTAACTCGGGATTCTACCAGCACTTTCCAAATATTTTCGAAGGCAAACTTTCGTACAAATCTTATGCTTAAAAATATCCAGCTTATTGTTGTTCTGTTGCATTATTTTTGTCTCAAATGACAGAGGAAAGCCAGACCGGGATACGTATACATGTATAGCTGATTGTCTTCGAAAGAGAATATAATCGATAAAATTAGATTAGCATACATGTACCTGTTTAATTAGCTGAACTCCATATGAATTTCACATAATTTTCACGATTTTTGCTTTTAAACTCCATTTTACATATCTTTATACATGCCGTCTTAGCCAAATTCTCATTACACGACATGATGAATTCCCAAGTTACTTGATGTATACATATGACGTCATCGGTCGTAGATTTTAATCAAAATGACAGAATACAGCATTACAAAATAGGAACATTTTATGCTTGTTAATGTTTAAACGTTTCTATTCATTTTCTTGTATTAAATTACATCTCTGAATACCAATAATACGAAAACTGTGTTCTAAAATTGACGTCATTTCGCCTACTATGACGTCATAATATAGCACTGATTTACTCAATGTTGAATATTCTGTATGCTTCCTTATTCCCCCTGCGAAGCCTTTCACCAGTGTATGGTGATGTCTCTAAATAAGTGAAAATTTCTCGAATTGGACAAAAACAACATACACTCAATCAAGAACTCTCAAAATCGATGGGGAACGTATCGTACGACTTTAATAGCCAGAAAATCTTACCCGATTTAAAAGACAATGGACAGTTATAATTACTTAAGAACTTAAGAAATTTGAATTAATTCGATTTCAGTAAAAGACTTAAGTGCATATGAAAAAAATTTGATTAATGAGCATTTCATACAATTATAATTACAATACCTCTTCTGTTTTTTCCTCGGCATGTGTTGCTATAATTAGAACAGGGGCTTTATCACTGCTGTACTGATGAATGGACTTCACCCAAAATGTAAGATAATCTGAATAAAAAAAATAAATCATAGGGGATTATGAAATGGACGATTTGGTGAAATTAATACATGTATATATTTGGAATAAATTTGAAATAAAAATCTTTAATTTAAGAGCTTTTATCCAATTCCATGTTGTAATCACTTTTGACTTTCTACATGTGTCACATTAAAACAAAGTGTTTTATATTTATTGCATATTTATATGTAATTTATGTGTAATTTATGTGTAATTATGTTTTGTTACTTGTACAAAAATTAATAAAGCGCAAATCAATTGTTAACTTAAAAATCCAGTTAAAAAATATACGATGAATAAAGGATTGCAGCATCATGTTAATGTGCACTTTACATTTATTGACATTGTAAAACTATGTATTCTAACAAACCCCTGTGTGTCCAGTCTTTGAAAACGGAGCCTGCCTGGCTACATACGTCTTCTCCGACTTGATCATCAAACTTTTTCTCCATATTGAGAACCAAAATAAAGAATGCCCGCGGACTCATAAAAACCTGGTGTGTGGCATAATATGCACACTGTCCAGCAAAATCCAGGATAGTGATTCTTTTCTCAGGATCATCAGAATCACTACTTGAAATACGTAAAAATTCTGATACAGAATCTTTATCAGCATTCGGACTAACTTCATTTTTTTCAGCTGATTTTTCTGGCAGTGTGACTTTTTTCGATAAATCAGTGCCAGGGTTCGGGTTCGGGTTCGGGTTGTCCTTTGACATTTGTTTGACACTAATTTTTTCACTGACAAGGTTTTTGTTCTCCAATTGTTTTTCAATATCTTGTTCATTAGTTTCTTTCTGGGAGTGTTCAAGAACATTCTGAATTTGAATGATTTCATCAAACGTTGCCTTGAAGTGCTGTTTATGAACTGATGTGTTTACTAAAAAAGAAATGTGGGTTGATTAAAAGTTTCAAAAACAGAATCGACCTGATTACATGTATTGTGATGACTATATAAAAAGTTAACTATAGACTATAAAGCTCATATGAGCCCCCATCTCTAACAAAAGCAAAAAAAATAAAGGAAAAATCAGTTGAAAGCAAGTCCCAGTGCATTAAAATCCGTATATATTAATTTTATCTTGGAAAAGTCTTGTTTCCTTTTACACGAATCTCTTTTGTCTGAACAAAATTCAGAAAAAAGTACATTTTTTGTACATTCAAATGATAGGTCAGTTTTTATTAGTGATATATGTTATTATCATTCGTTGTAAACGAAAAAAAAATTATCAAAGATTAAGAAAGCTCTTCTTCATGAATATCATCTGTAATTCAGTCCTACAACAAGCAAATATATCAGCTGTATTCATTCCTAGCTATAGATGCAACAATTATACAAGTTAAACCAGGGAAAGGATTTTAACTTTTTTGTTTAACAACCGAGAATATTTAAGTGAAATACCATATCTAAAACATAAATGGTAGTGCATTTATGCACTTTTGGTCTGCATATTGCTTAAGGAATCTCTGAACTGAAGCTTTTCCATGTACTCTCATCATTTTTGTAGTATGAATCCCATAGTGAACCATCCATATATGTTTAATTACGCTAGTGATCTGTTTGGGATCCGTCATGCAAGATGAATCTTGCATTGTTACATTATTACATATAATACTATGGTTTCATTAATATTCGTTGTCATCAATTTTCGTGGATTTTGTAAAACAGACGTTTTCGATGATACGTAATTTCGTGGACAAAAGCATTGCTTATACAAATGAATGTCACATTTCGTATTTCAATGAACATTTGAATTCATGGATCTGCTCAACAACGAAATCCACGAAAATTGGTGCTCAACGAATATTGATGAAACCACAGTATTTGATAATGAAAACAAAAATACCATTAATGGTGTCTGACACATCAAAGATGTCAGTATGTATGTCAATTCCCCTCGTTGATTTGGTCTTCTGTTTAATTTCGGCCACGTCATTACCCTTCAGTCTCTCTAACAATGTTGTTTTCCCACTACCAGCACACCCTATTATCATCCCAGAGGCATGGTACATGGTTGTCTTCCCTTTCTTTAAATTCTCAATGAAATTTTTCACTGATTTGTCTCCCCTTAGGATAATCTGCATTGGTATGGCAACTGTAAAGAGGAAATGAAATAAAACTACAGTTCCTTATTTTTGTTTGTTGGTGCATGTATGAAACAATTGAAACAATTCCAAGAACTCATACTTTGACTTTCCAACTTTTACTAAAATCGAATTTTGATCCTTGGGAATAATAATTATAATAATGAGATGCTTTACAATATACACATAAGAATACATTTGGTTTTTTCATGTACATAAATGTATGTATTACATATATAATGTAATGACACATAAAGAAATGCAACAAATAACTCCCTAATATAGTAGCGGTATTAAATCATCATAGAGAATAAACAATGATCATTCACTTACTGGTCATAGAATCGCCGTGTAACACTCTGTATATATTCACTTTGTTGTCAATGAATGACCCTACCCACAGAAGGTTGGTTTTATCATCATAATTCAGGCTCTCTGGTTTGTATATCCTTAGTTCTGATGTCGATATCTCTGACAGAAAGTGACCGTGCTGATTTGATATTTGAATATTGTCGGTGTTAAAATCACACACCAGGATGTGTGACAGCGCGTCAGTACAGGTTCCTAGTGGTGATAGTCCTGATCTTGGTGGAGAACCTGTGTAGGTGAAGAGATGTTTAACACCATGATCTGTCACTACTACACCGCGGTCCAAGTCAGACACAATAACATCACCATTGCGGTTCTCTGTGATGTAGATAGGCTCCATATACAGTCCCTGACCTGTGCTGTTGTCAAACTGTATGGTCTGGATGATTTCTCCTTTGGAGTTATACCGCAATACCTTGCCTGTCTTTGAATCAGTATTCCTCATCCCGACCAGCAGGTCTCCAGTGGAGAGGGAGCTGTAGACACACTGTGGTTTCCATGGTACGGTGTACTTTATTAATAGTATGTTTACTGTATTATCGGTAGAGAGTTTGTTGATATTACCGCTTTTGTCTATATAGAGTAATTCGCCGTCTCTTGTCACAGTGTGTACACCCACATCACTATATATGTCTGTCAGATGATGCAGTTTTTTACCTGTTATGCTTGTCAAGATGAGATTTTCTATATCATTGATCCAGACCCGGTCTGACGTTACACGGGAAATGTGACGTGCACGGCTAATACCTGTCACTGTGACAGATTTCTGTAACGCTAATCTATACATCATTCACAGCAGATATCTCATCTTTTTTTTTCCTCTGGTTTCTCTGCTTTACAGATTCACTTGTTGATTTCCTTCATCAGGGAGAATTCTCTGTAAATTAGAAGAATGTACTACAATAATTGATATCAATCACAAACATTCTCATTACAGTTAATAAATTTTAGTATATAAATCAGTCAATAATCATGATAATTGTCTCTTAAAAACATCATAAACAGTATTTATATAAAGTTCATTTATATGTGTATCAAGGCTTTATACATATTTTGGGTATTAACATATTTATTTAATAATCCTTACTCTCTTTACCTCTTTCTATATATATCTCTATCTAGATGTCATAAGCAATGTATCGTTTAGAGAATCACTTTGTAAATGAAGAAACTCTAGTTATTGTTTGGAAATTGAACATGGCCGTTTTAAAGGTATTCCTTGAGAAAATAGGTTTTGTCTCTTCTGTCAATTAGCAAATAAAAATTGTATTGAAAATGAAAAGCACTTTGTAGAAAATTGTGAATTATATATGGATATCAGAGTAAAATGTAATATTTTGAAACACTTAAGATTTTATAAAAAACACTATGAATATGTTTATATATGGAAATGATGTAGTGTTAAATGATATTGCAAAATTTTCCTTTTTAGCTTTTAAAGAGAGGAAAAAGTTCATTGACAATGTATTACATGATAATTTATAAGCATAGTTTATTTGTTTCCAAAATTGTATATTTAAAGCCTGAATTGTAAATGTAACATTGTTAAATATGAATGTACTTTGGGCCGGTGGCTGCAATACTTAATTTAATAAATATCTTAATCTTGATCGGTAAATTATATTATTCTCTATATAAAATTATAAAGAAAGAAGAAGTCTCAATAAGGCATTATTTTTGTCTAAATTCTAAACTTTCATTAAGTAAAAGTTTATATTATTCTCTCATGCCTCAACATTTAAAAATGTCAAATAATTGAAATATACAGCACGCGAAGCTGTGTTTTGAAGGTTGGGTCTTTTGATTTTCATGAATATCAAAAGAAATTGGCGACAGGTACCTGCTTCTCAGCTTTCGTAAACATCGAGTTCAGATTTGTTCAAAGTCGAGATTAAAATATAATATCTATATTATATTTATACAGAATGTGTGAAAATATCTTTGATGATCAAGCTAGCGCTGTTTGTTTTCTACTTAAAAGTAGAATGATTTTGAATCTGTTTGGTGAGTACATTTACATAAGATTAACCTTTTGATGACCTGCTAAAAATAGAAAATATGTAACGTGATTCCATTCCGCCACAGGGGGATACTGTTTTTGGAGAAGTTATGGAAAACAAAAAAAACCTGGGGCACAGAGCCTGCAGAACAGGGTGGGGGGCGAAGGCCCCTGGCTGAAATTGAATTTGAGCATGCATTTTTTTGGCCATTTAGAGAGCATAAATTGCAACGCGGAACCATTTGCTGTGTTAGACAAAATGCACATGGGACAAGGTCTACTGCGCATACCATGGCAAAGAGCCACCACACCTTGTGAAGGAGTACAATAAAGTTTCAGCCTTGTATCCCTATAGTGTAAATTTCTTTTACGGTTTCAACTATACTGAAAGGAAAAAGAAACGCATAGTAAACTTTTGAATACAATTTAAACTATCCTTTTGAATATGTTTTCCAGATTTATTACCAAACATTTTAATTCATGTTTAATCAACAAGTTACCAAAATCTTGTGAGACTTTGACTGAAACTTCATGAGTTATTGATATTGATATGTCGATATCCCATCCCACCCCACCCCCCAAAAAATTAAAAAAAATTATCATCATCTCCCTTGCGCATCAGAAAACCAAAACAAGCAAACAAATAAACAGGTGGTGACCACGGAACATAGTTCAACTCCCAAAAAGATGTACAGCTCAGCGCACTTTTGCAGCTATATGGTTTTTCACAAAAATGAATGTCACATTCTTCTCGCATTAAAACTTTAATTACCGAAATTGTAGGAACATCATATGGAAAGATGGGGAGTATTTTGAGATATAAGTGAAAATGAAGACTACTTAGTGCGAGATGATACACGGGCTTTTCTTGAGAAAAAAAATTGAGAAAAGGGGCAGTAGTTTGTACAATTAAGATTTCAAATTGGACATTTGGGTGAGATGCTTCTATAACGTGATGTGACATATCAAACTTGACGTAACGTTGAATTCTCCCCGGGTTTCACAACAATCGATTTTTAGAAAACTCTTGTGACCTTATTGGTATTTGGAACTTGGTGAAAATTTTGCAATGTTATTGCATTATTACTCTATATCATCGTGTATCTCGCTTTTTAAAAAAGGGGAAAATCTTCTACATATTGAATTATTACTGATAAGTCATTCATTTTTTTTGATCATCTATACAAGTCATATATATACTCCTGTTTAGGATTTCCGGTTTCATTTGATCATAAGGGAGATCCCCGTTGAACAGAACAGCGTTCCATAAATAAACTATGTCCTGCTAATTTTGCCACCTAAAGAATATCTAAAAGAATGGTTGGTCGCTTATTTAAAGTAACACAATGAGTCAAAGTCATGTGTTTCTTTTACGATATATGTAGCTTACAGAGAACGACTTATGAAAATTATGACTATATACAGATATAGGTATGATATAACAATTAAACTGCAAGAAAACTCTGCACAATTTTTAAATGCAGGAAAAAAAGGTTCTACTGTTTCATTATTTTCGTGTAATGCAAGTTCACTCCACTTTAATGTTTAGCTCAAACTTGTAAATAACATTAAACTGGAGCATGCAAAGGTGAGAAATATGTTCTAACAATATTATAAACAGATTGGATAAAATGTTTGGTTTACTTAAATTCAATCCTGGGTACTTGAGACCATGGTTATTATCGAAACTTATTCAACCTTTTTGCGCACGTGTACAATAGGGAGGAAGAAGTATTGAGCAATATTTTCATTATGGATTTCTGGAGTTTACTTGTTTGTTGACTGTATTTCCCGAATATGAAATTCTTGCAATCTTCTTCTAATATGTTTTACGGTGTGACCGTTGGGGCGAGCGCAGTTGTACCATCAAAAACACTCTTAAAATTGATCAGCCACTTCAAACATCAAGCCGCACGAGGCATCTCGACTAGCTGTGACGTCACACGACGTCACGGAGCTCGTCAGAGCTTACGAAGACAGCCGAGCGTCTGTTTGAAACTGCCCTTACCAAAATGAAAAGTTTGCTGCAAGCTTGCGGCAAACAAATCTATGTACCAGAACAGTATGCCAGAAGTGTGCAGTAAATGTAGCTAGCAGCACCCAGTATGCCACTTGCGGTTCATTGTGTGCTGCTACGGGCACACTATGTATTTCTAGCGGCACATTAAATGATCTGATGCTATATGTGCCAGAAGTATGCCACAATTTTTCCTCAGATGCCTTTGATGTATATAGTGTGCCGGAAGTGTACCAGAAATTTTCTTTTAGCTATCAAAATGAATGTGTGCCAGAAGTGTGCCATGAAGCTAATTTCTTGCAGATGTGCTTAGTCAACAATGTTCAGGAACAACTTGTCTGTAATATTGCAGAACATTTTTATGAACGGCTTATCAGTGTACATCCGGTTTATTCACAGCTCTTCTATTTTCCACCCTAATCTTTTAAATACTACTAATTTGTTTAGGTTATTAATCCTGTTTAATTATGATCTATTCTTGAATTATTATATTCTATAACGATAAAGAAATCCCTTTTCATTAAATTTACACATTCTACTGGTTAGATTTTTTAAAAATATAAAACCGTTTAAGTACAACTAGGGGTTATAAACAACAGCATTATTTACATCCGAAGTTTGCGCCAAATTTAAACCAAAGGGGTCATGGCAGGAACAAAGAGAAAGGAGAAAGCGGCAACATTTAGGATTACTTGGATGCATGAAGAGAAAATGTGAGTATTTTAAAATACATTGCATAACACTGATGTCTGCATGTTTTACATTTTAAAAAAAGACTTGACAGCATTTGCAGAGCCTGAGTTTAAGTTAGGTCCTTGTTCAAAACGAAATGAGTCAGTATGTTTTAAATTTTTGTTCTATCCAGATGGATCTATGATGAATCAGTAAATGCTCCTCTAAGAATAGAGAGATTATGAGAATTGACAAGAATGAATGGGATGAAGAACCTGCAGTCTGAAGTATAGGTCTTGCTCCAGATTCAAATATGCAGGCATGTATGTGCAGGAAACTGAGAAAAGGATTAACAGATTTAGAACTGCTAACTATAAGAACATGGACTAAATGTAAAAAAAAATTAAATCACAATGAATAATTGGGTCCATATTTTGAGGTTTATGTCATATAATTAAATACACTTTAAATTATATAATTTAAATATGCAGAGAAATATATAGTTTTTATAAACAAAGTCAGTGTTGTTTTTGAGTCCTTGTTTGTCAATCAATCCTATAAATATACATACGAGGGCCGTTCAAAAATTACGCGGACTGTGCTATTATTTACTCTTACAGACGTCATATAGTTATAAAATTTCTCAGAAATATGTATCTTAAAGATTCCAATAAATTTTGGGCAAAATTTCTGTATTTAAAAAAAATTCTACTAAAATTATCGGTATGTTGATATCGTTGATGGAGAGGTACGGCGCACGACAAAAAAATTGAAGCAAAAGCATGCGGATTCAAAAATTTAACTCATTGATTTTCTAAAATTCGCGATATTTTTCATCAATTTTCTCAAATTTACCTTTAAATTGTTCTTTTATTATGTATTTAAATTTTGGACGTAATATTTGAAGTACTAACAGAAATATAGTGATTTTTCTCTGATGCGATTCCCGTGAAAACAACTGTGAAATGACGTCTTCTGAATTGACGGCGCACCAAACTTTTGTTAGAATATGTGTAATGCTCGAGATATCGGCAACATAGATCCAAAATATGCATAATAAAACATGTAGTAAACTAGGCTACTCGTGACAATCGCCCACAAATAGCAAATTGAAATTTTAGACAATTAGACCTCTGTTAAAAGGCTATACGGGAGGACGGGAAGAAATTTAACTTTATCCGGACTGTAA